TCCTTAAATAGCCGATTATTAAATTCAGATCCTCCATCAGTTTGTATAAGGCGAGGAGGACCGAATATCGTAACGAACTCTTGGAACATGGCATCAGCTACAGAGTCAGCATGCTTGTTTTCAGTGGAACAATCTGGACGTACCGAGTCAAATGGTCAATGATGGTCAGACAGTAACGATAACCAGCCTCAGATCTCCCTAGCTCAATCAAGTCTGCACTCACTTTTTCGAGAGGAACTGAGACGTCTGGCGGCTTTGCAAGAGGAGCCTTCCTGGGGCTTCCTTTACGTCGTTGGCAGTCCTCACATGCGCAACATACTCCTTCACATCACGGAGCATGTTCGGGAAATAAAACATGTCCTTGAGCTTGACAAAGGTTCTAAAAACTCCAGGATGAGCGGCAATTGGAGAGGAGTGGGCTAGCTTTAATGCACTCCTTCGAAGTTGTCGAGGAACCACAAGTTGGCTCACAATTCGATCAGGTAAGGTTCTTACATGGTACAAAACACCATTTTGGAGATCGAATTCTTCTAGTGGGCGTGGAGGTTTTCTGTTAGGAACTGCTTTCTCTTCCAGATAAGCAATAATTTCGTGCCACATCGGATCCTTCAGCTGTTCTGACCTCATGGTCTTTGGGTCTGGATCTGCTATACTCACAGCTGAAATATTTCGGCTTAGCATATCTGGAATGTGGTGTGAGGTGCCAGGTTTGTATAGAATGTTAAATGAATAACCAGACAGTTCATATGCCCACCTAGACATCCTTGGAGACTTTGTTTTCTTTGTGAAAACGTACACAAGCGGTCGATGGTCAGTGTACACCGTAAATCTGCGACCATACACATAAGGATCAAATGTTCGAACGCTCTCAACAACGGCAAGAGCCTCAGCATCAGTAGCAGAATATCGAGTCTCTGGTCCTCTCAGTTTACGACTGTAGTAAGCTATTGCATGGGGCTTGTTCTCGCTGTCTCTCTGCATTAATGCAGCACCAATTGCAACTTGTGATGCGTCCGTGTGTATCTCAAACGGGAGATCAAAGTTAGGCTTGCGTAAAATGGAGCATTCATCAAAGCATCCTTCAAAGACTGAAATGCTTTCTGGCACTCATCTGTCCATCTGAATCTATGATCTTTCTTGATGAGTTGGGTCAAGGGTGCAGCTACTTTAGCATAATCTGGAACATGCCTCCGAAAGAATCCTGTAGCTCCTAAGAATCTTCTCACCCCCTGACTGTCTTTGGGGCTGGCATCTCCGCAATTGCTCGAACTTTGTCAGGATCAGGGAGAATGCCTTCAGGAGTGACTCTGAATCCTAAGAACCTGAAGTTCTGCACGACAAATTCACACTTATTAACATTTAGCTTGAAACCAGAACAATCTAAAATATCAAGTGTTTCTTTCAGATGGCAAAGATGTTCGTCAAAGCTCTTACTATACACAACAATGTCGTCTAGGTAAGCTAATGTGTGCCGGCCAAGAACTGGGCTAAGAATCGCATTCATAGTTCGCTGAAAAGTTGTCGGTGCCGTAGACAAACCAAATGGCATACGGCGCCATTGAAAAAGGCGATAACCATCGCTGAATGCCGTTTTGGGCCGATCTTCAGGTGCCACTGGGATACTCCAGTAAGCACTCCTGCTGTCAAGCAATGAAAAGACTGCTGTCTCTCTGAGCTCATCCACCAGCTCATCGATCCTTGGCAAAGGGTACGTGTCAGCTATTGTCACAGAGTTCAGCCGACGATAATCTACACAGAAGCGAACTGTTCCATCCTTCTTTTTAACAAGTACTACGGGAGAGAGCCAGGGTGACGTGCTTGGTTCAATCACACCAGCCTCAAGCATGGCGTCACACTCCTCCCGTATCTGCTGTTTAGCTGCTTCAGGTAGTCGCCATTGACGTGTACATAATGGCTGAGTCTCATGGGTAGGTATACGATGTTGTACACCTGGTACAGTGCCAATAGAAAATTTATCTGAGCTAAAAAGACGTGGATAATTAGCCAAAAGTGACAGGATATCCTCACGTTGCGTGTCTGATAAGTGGCTCAAATCTGGACCAGTTTCTTGAGTGTCTGTTGCCATAGCAACGGATGCAATATCTGGAGGATCATCTAAACTTGTCTCAGGAAAAACAACAAAGTCACTTTCATCATAACCAAAGTCTAATTGACCGTAGGCTACGTCAAAATCATCTTCCTCAAATCTGAAGTCTGGGTCAGAGGCATCACCATTAATCTTGAATTCCTCTGGTAAATGTTCAGGAACGTTTGAGTTATCCTTAACCTGCTCCTCAGCAGAACGAGATCTTTCAGATGAATGCTTCATATCCACCACAGTGCATAGTGCTCCAGTTGCCACGTGTGTACCATTTCGCGCAGGTGTAGGACGAGCTCCTCCATTCACAACCCATACGGAAGCTGTCCCATTCTCGGGAACAACTACCGTCCTTGGTACAACAACTTTGTCAGTGGCTGCTTCTAGAATCACTTCCTTATCATTAAATGTCTGAGGCACAGTCACCAAAACATACCGACCACTACGAGGAGGACACAAGGTGGTTCTCCTGAGGGCCAACTTCTGACAGTGATTCTGAGGAGTGAATTCCGCAACAGCAGTGATACCCAAGGTCGTGCCAACAGCATATGTTATAGGGAGTATTATCCCTTGAAGCTTCAGGTAATCTCTTTGTGGAGTATGATTATGTACCAGCTGGTAACAGAATCTTTGCAGAAAATCCATTCCAATAAGAACATCTCCCGGAAAATCTATACCCTCCACCAAACACAATCTATGACAACACTTTCGGATTCTCCTGCCATTACCAAAGGATACATCGACATCCCATTCAGATGTAGCCTCGAAGAGCCGGCCTGAAACTCCTCGAAGACCACGTCCTTCATGATAAATTCTTTTTGGAGTCATTGTTGTGAAGCCCATTTAAGCAAAGTAACTTCAGATCCGGTATCAATAAAAGCTGTAACTGCAACTCCTCCAACACGGATCTTCACTAGAGGTCTCCCACATGGACCTTGAGCAGTGATCTCAGAAACCTCAGATACTGTCTGGACCGCAGCCTCTGTCAACTGTCGTTCTCCTTCGTACGAAATCTGGTTCTCCTCGAAAGCTGACCTTTCTCGGGCTCCTTTGATACCCAGAGGTGAGTGGAGCTCCTCCCCTCTGGCCATCCTGAAAGGGACACTGTCTGCGAATGTGACCTTCTCTTTGACATCCCCAACAAACAAGTGTCGATCGCTGATATGCCGAACGCGATAAGTACGAGGCGCGTCACGAGAGATCTCTGCAATACCAGATCTTCGTGGTTCTGCAGGGAGTTTAGGAGGTTCATCATGGCTAGAGACACCTACTCTAGCATTCCATAACCGCTGTGAAGCTTCAACAAGTGACTGAACCGAGTCACCTTCTTTAAGAGCTAAAAGTTCTCTTAGCCAGCTTGGCAATCCTTGTAAAAACACCCTTCGAATTAACTCCTCAGGGCTACCTATGGCTTCTTTGTGATCTCGATAGCCTTGATACACCATGCCCTCAAGCACTGCATAAAAATCAAGAGGAGCCTGTCCTGCAAGCATACGGACCTCATACAGCAGAGTGAAAAAGTCAGAGGCTGAAACGTGCCTCTAAACTTTTGTCTAAGCTTTTGTTTAAAATCAACCCATGAAAAGATGTCATCGAAAATGGGTGAGTTAATTATTAATTCTGCTTGTCCTCTGCAGTGTGCTCTTGCAGCCCGAATCAAAGCCTCATCAGTGGCAGGCTTAACTGTATTTTCTAACTGCCTAATCCAGCCTTCTACTTCCTGATTTCGTCGGAGTGGCTGTGAAGCTGGAGCTTCAGCTTTAAACTTTGAAATAGAGTCGCGATCAGAGACTATTAAGTAAGTCGGCTGTGAGGTAGAATGTGTGTCAGCCCTGTTATATACTCGTGCCCCTGCTGACCAGGAGGCGTAAAAAGTGTGCGAGGTGCAACTGTGGGCCTTGCAGAAGATAAAGGTCAACAGTACCTGGTTGTGAATCAGCTGAATGCTGAAATTCGCCGGAGTGAGCATCGGCGGAGATGTGTCGCTCACAATCAACCGCCTGGTGGTTCTCGGAACAGCTCCTCTCACAGGTGATGTGTGAGGTGAAAGTGCCGTGGCACCCTGTGGCTCTGCAGCACTGGCAGTGGCACCAGATTCTAACCGTAACGTTAATCTTTCCAGCAAAATTTTAATTTCATCTCGCTCCTTCTCTTTCTCCCTCTCGAGACGCTTGACCTGATTTGCTAATTCTTTAATCATGCACCTCAACTCCGTGACCTCATCAACCAGAAGGATCTCATCATCAAGGTTGGGGCGAGATTCCTCCTCAAGCTCAGGTGCAGGCTGAGACTTCTTCCTCCTTTCCCTAACCATGATTATATATCAAACAGTGACCACACAAAGATCAAACGGAAATCAAATCACAATGAAAAGCGACAGTATACACCAAAACGATTTCAACACAAACACAAACAAGTACAAGTAACACAAATAAATAAATTAATATGATAAGAGCTAAAGGTTTGAAGCTGGTACATCACATTAAAACACAAACAAAACTCAAAGCAAACCCTTAAATTACGTATACCGTGAATAGTATCTTACTCTACACCAGTCTTCATTAACCTTTAACTATCATCACTATGCTTTGGCAAAAACTTCGAAACATTAAGATCATCAGCACCAAACAATTACAAATCATCAAAATTCAACAATCAATCCCACTAACGATGCCACCATTATCCGCTGTAGGGGTTATCATGATCTTACCCCCTAGTTTGCGGGGCCGTAGGAGCCAACGAGACCTAAGCCTCCGGCCTCCTGTTTCGGCACAGAGTAATTATCATGTTGTCGTGGTGTGATGTCGATACTGGTAGCGTGTTTCACTGACAATTGTTTCGACCAAAGCATATATCATAGAAAAATAGATAATTAATTTAAAGTCCGTGTAACTGATAAAAC